CTTGGGAAGATGCTTTCTAAAATGATTTGGCTTCTTTTTACCATCTCGATTAAGAACATTTTATTTACACAAATAAAACCCCACACAGAACACAAATAGCCCTTTGATTGTACTCTCCATGGTATGTAGAAACAACATTGATTGTACTCTCCGCGGTATGTAGAAACAACATTGATTGTACTCTCCATGGTATGTAGAAACAACATTGATTGTACTCTCCAAGGTATGTAGAAACAACATTGATTGTACTTTCTACGGTATGTAGAAACAACAGGTTGTGTGAAGTATCCACAACAACATCATGACGCTGCTGTACTGCCACGTTGAAAATTGTCATTTTAGTTCATTTTCGAGATGTTTTTCTCTGTCATACCAAGAATTTAGAAGCCTCGCTGCTGATTGGCTGATTAGAAAGTTACCCTGGTGCAACTTCCAATGGAGGTGTCCTGAGATCTTAACACAGCGAAATATCATATCAGAGTAAAAGAGCTGATTTTTAAGTAAAAGGAAAAATATCTGAAGGGTGGAGGCAAAAATATAAAAATGAAAATGTAGGTTTAACATAGAAACATCAGTGACTGGGCCCATACCTGTGAAGGTCCAGGGTAGAATAGGTCTTCAGCAGCCCATTCTTGCCGTAAAAGACGACTGTGTTTGTCGTAATAGGCGACTAACGGGATCGGGTGGTCAGGCTCGCTGATTTGGTTGATGCATGTCATCATGTCCCAATTGGGTAGATCAATGTTCTGATATCAAGCACTGGAATTTCTGATCCGGACTCCATTATTTACAGACCCTCTCATATACCTTGACTATGGCTGAGTGCGGCATTAAACAACAAACAAACAAACAAACCATATTTTCTTGTGTCATACACCATTTTATGTTCTGTTTGTGTGGAAAATTGCTATCCCTGTGCTTCTTTGAGTAAGAGCATACATAGCTAAAATGTCATGGAACTGTAAACCTTAGGTTCAAAATTACGAAACACGATTTATATTCTAATTCCATTATTTGTTAGTGACGAGCTAATTTGTAAAACATGTAATTAAATTAACCTCAAGACCTCATAAATAATACATCAGTTGCAAACTCAGGTGATATTGTACCCAAATTACAAAGACCTCAACTTGGTGAGTTATTGGCTTAATTCATGCAGCATCATCAGTTTAGCAATTATTTATGACATCGAACATAAGAAGATAGCAGGGAGAATTCTAATAAAAGTGATGGAGAACCCATGCCTCCACATCACCTTATCTCCCTTGCGTCACGAGCCAGACAGCATTCATCATCAGCTGATTCCTTAGGAGACGTGTGATAAATTTCATTATTGATAAATCATCAGGGGAATATTCTAATGCATCAATGTATTGATTAAACAGGAAATAGATTCAGATAAATATTATTTCCAATGGGATATAAAAGTGAAAGGTTTCTGTGGTCAAGGTGAAATTAATGATTCCAACGCAGTCAGTTTCAGTGGAATCATTAAAATGTTGAAAGTAATTAATTTGAATAATTTGAATAATTTGTTCCAATTATTCATGAGAGGGTATATTTTGAGTTACATGTGTCATTAGCGGGATGTAGAGGATTTAAGGAACGAAAATGTTTAATTATTTGTTTAACGATGCAATATTACAGTTTTTTAATGATGGTCTGTAATTAACCAAGTCTTGACCAGACAATTAATCCAGTGATTGATATCATGAGCATCAATAGCAATTGGGATATACATAATTTCTCTGGTAGAAGAATGCATATTCTGAGAAATAGTCATGAGTGACAATAAACATAGTTGTGTTCCACTATTGGATAGTGGAGAATAGTCACAGCGTAAAAGAGTTACTACCCTTTAGATGTCTTCGTTTTTGAAAGTTCTAAAAACCAAAGAAGCAAGTTTAAATACATGCTGAAGGCAATGTGAAAAATGTTCAACATAATAATAATAATAATAATAATAATGATATATGGTGCTGTACTCCATGCATAAGCATGCTCTATGCGCTTAGACATTTATTAGGTACCGTATTCGACGTAATAAGTGCCCCGCTCTAATAAGCGCCCACGGCGATATTTGCTAATATAATGGCTAGTGAACAATCCCAATCAGCACCCCTTCCGATTGATCAATGTACACAAGACTTATTTATTCGTGTATAATACACACTCGTGTGTTATATCACCCTTAATTATGGGCAATTAAATTCTTGAAAAATATATCTATCGTATGTAAACATTTCAGGCTGTTAGCTTAAACCACGAAATTTACGATCTTTCAACTCAAAATAATATTCTAATAAGCGCCCCCTATTTCTAATTTTGAGAGCACCCTGGGCGCTTATTACGTTGAATACGGTAATTCAATAATGGGCTAACAGACTATTCCTAACTTGTCTTACTTCATAACTGTGGGTCGTTGTTTGTGATGTGTAAACCTTTTCACCATGCAGGTTGACTGTCAACTGGTGTGGGATTTTACATGATGGAAACTGGCCAGTCAGATGGCTTGATTCTATTATAAGTAATGATACATAGTACTACAGTAAAACCCCTTGAAGAACCGATTATTGTCATAAATATATGTACATGTTTTCCATTGCAGAGTATTATCCTAATATCTTTCAGAGACAGTCATTCAGTGGTCAGGCATTGGCTTAGCAAGAATATGCAGATTATCTAGAGATTATCCATCACATTTTGATATTTTTCAATGTGTCTTCTCAATTATTCCCCAAGACTGCCAGGACGTTCCCAGATATTGGTTGTAAGAAGATACTTATTATGATTATGGAAATATGGTGTGATCATTTATTTATCCTTTCATTTAAAGCTGACTTGCCGAAACTGTCTATTAAGACTAAAAAACATCTACATATACATAAACACACTCTTTATTGGAAAACTATTAGCATCGCTACACTGTTGGAATTTAGATCTAACCTTGGTATGGCTTCTGAGAATTAGAAATCTGTGAACATTAATCCCTATGCCCCCGATTTAGGTAAAATGTTCATAGCATCACTAAATGCATGTGGTATGGGCTATAGTGAATGGGGGCGGTCAGGTAGCCAAGTGGTTAAAGCGTTCGCTCATCACGCCGAAGACCCGGGTTCGATTCCCGACATGGGTACATTGTGTGAAGCCCATTTCTGGTGTCCCCCGCCGTGATATTGCTGGAATAAAGCGGCATAAAACCATACTCACTCACTCACTCACTCACTCACTCACTCACTCACTCACTCACTCACTCGTGAATGTGAAAAGGTCACAAAAGTTTGCTAGCTGGAGGCGTGAAACCTCGTTCAGTAGATTCAAATATTCAGTCACGAAATTGTGACACCACTCACATTTCTTTCAAATAGACAATGTTGTGCTGGCAAATTATTGGCAAACTTACCGGATATGCGATACCTTGCCAGAGGGAAGATGTGGCTCAGCTTATTTCTACCATGTTTGTGTGGCAAGAAATGTACACATGTATCTATATGCTTCTGAATGGTTTTCAGAAATTTTCTCTTGCTAATTTCTCTTGTCTCACTGGATATATCTGGTCAGACATTTTGAAAAAAGTGGAAATTTAAACAATTATACAGTAAACTACATTTATAGCGAACACCCTTAAGATGAACTGATGGATATAACAAACTTATGTTTTTATCTCGGCCATTTGGTTTATATATGCTGTATATATGCATATAACGAACTACGATTATAATGAACTAAAATTAGTATCCCCTTTGAGTTCGTTATAGCTGTAGTTTATTGTATATGAATACAGCTGGACTTGGCTGTCATTATGCTATCATGATATAACATTTATGCTAAGTTTTCATGTAATAATTAGATCCACAACAAGTGCTTTTATGAGTTATCATGGTATAACATTTATACTAAATTTCATATAATTATAGTTTAGCAAATAATGCATATATTACATATACAAAATATCAGTAGTTTCAGTTATAGTTTTTAGATAGATGCTAGCCTAAGGTAACAGGAACTCATCTCCCAGACATACTATCCAATAAGACAATAGTTATGTCTACATAGTTTTATAAATTTAAAGCTTTTAGATAAATACTTGAAAGGTAACAGGATCCCATCTCCTAGACATACTGATCAATAAGACAATAGTTATATCTACATAGTTTTATAGATTTACTTAAATAAAATAGTTCAAGACAATCTATAAAACTATGTAGATAGAACTTTTGTCTTATTGATTAGTATGTCTGGGAGATGGGACCTTGTTACCTAAGGCTAGTATGTATCTAAAACCTATAACTGAAACTACTGATATTTTGTGTATGCGTTTTATCTGATTATATGTGTTACTTGCTAAACTATAATTATATGAAATTTTGTATAAATGTTATACCATGATAACTCATAAAAGCACTTGTTGTGGATCTAATTATGATATGAAAACTTAGTATAAATGTTATATCATGATAATACCCTTATAGAGGGATCAATGCTCCCGGCTTGAAGAAATACAGGTGCACAAACCAGTATTAGAGGATGGTTGTTCATGCTTGTTGCATTACAGTACACATGATTTATTTTTAAGTTTACCATATTCGACGTAATTAGCGCTCCCCTCTAATAAGCGCCCATGGCGATATTTGCTAAACAATTGGCTAGAGAACAATCCCAATTAGCACCCCTTTCGATTGATCAATGTATCACATTGATCAATGTAATACGTGTGTTATATGCACCCTTAATTATGGGACATTAAATTCTGGAAAAAATATATCTGTTGTGTATAAACATTTCAGGCTGTCAACATAAACCACGAAATTTACGATCTTTCAACTCTGTTGTTTTTCACCAAAATAATATTCTAATAAGAGCCCCCTATTTCTAATTTTGAGAGCGCCCTGGGCGCTTATTAAGTCGAATACGGTAATTTAATTCTCCTGTGTTGGGTTCAATCGAGGTCACATGAATGTTTCTCTGACAGTGTTTCATATGTGTTTGTAATGTTGCAGGTCAGAGATCGTGTTTGTGACACGGCATGAGGTCGTCTGGATATGTCAGCTGAGCGTGGCTGTCATCAGTCTCTCCGAGACCATACTTGTACAATACCTCAGCTACAAGGTGTGTACAGATTGTGTGTCCATGTGCCAAACCCATTTACAAGATATGTACCATACTATATGATATTATACCATACACTAGCCCTGATGTCTTATACCATACACTATTGCCCTGATGTCTTATACCATACACTAGCCCTAATGTCTTATACCATACACTACTGCCCTGATGTCTTATACCATACGCCGAGACCATACTTGTACAATACCTCAGCTACAAGGTGTGTACATATTGTGTGCCCATGTACCTCCCCAGTTTCAAGATATGTACCATTGTACCCTATGCTTATGTACCACCCCAGGTACGAAATATGTACCATTTTAATCTAATCATGTATACCACCAGAGTTACAAGATATGTACCATGGTACTCTATTTTTTATATACCTTACACCATTGCCCTGATGTCTTATACCTAAATATGCTATTGCCCTGATGTCTCATACCTCACTCTAGTGTCTTATACATTATGCTTATATAATTGCCCTGGTGTCATATACCTTATGCTATAGTCCTGATGTCTGATACCACACACTATTGCCCTGAAGTCTGATACCACACACTGTTGCCCTGATGTGTTGTACCTAACACTATTGCCCTGATATGTTATAACATACACTATTGCCCTGATGTCTTATACCTCACTCTAGTGCCTTATACCTTACGCTTATATACTTGCCCTGGTGTCATATACCTTAAGCTATAGCCCTGATGTCTGATACCACACACTTATAATTGCCCTGATGTGTTGTACCTAACACTATTGCCCTGATATGTTATACAATACACTTGTGCCTTGATGTGTTATACCATACACTATTGCCCTGATGTCTGATACCACACACATATAATTGTCCTGATGTGTTGTACCTAACACTATTGCCCTGATATGTTATACCATACACTAGTGCCTTGATGTGTTATACCATACACTATATCCCTGCTGTCTGATACCACACACTATTGCCCTGATGTCTACTGCCACCAACTATTGCCCTGCTGTGTTATAACTAACGCTATTGCCCTGATATGTTATACCATACACTATTGCCCTGATATGTTATGCCATTCACCTTTGCCCTGATGTTTCATACCATTCACCTTTGCCCTGATGTTTCATACCATACACTATTGCCCTGATGTCTTATACCATACACTATTGCCCTGATGTCCTATATCATACACTACTGCCCTGATGTCTTTTACTTTGCACTATTGCCCTGATGTCTTATACCATACACTACTGTCCTGATGTCCTATATCATACACTACTGCCCTGATGTCTTATACCATACACTACTGCCCTGATGTCTTATGCCTAACAGTGTTGATATCTTATGACTGCTTGTCCATGTTTCAGGGCAATATCTTACAGCAGATTCTCACGCTGGAGTTCGTGGTAGAACTCATCACCACTGTCCCTTTCATCTTCACAGTGAGTAGACAGCACACAGAACACACAGCATACCCAACACACACAACTCACACAACACACAGCGCATACAACACAGCACACACAGCATACCCAACACACACAACTCACACAACACACACATCACATACAACACAGCACATACAACACAGCACACACAGCATACCCAACACACACAACTCACACAACACACACATCACATACAACACAGCACATACAACACAGCACACACAGCACATACAACACACAACACTCACACAACACACAGCACATACAACACAGAACACAGAACACACAGCACATACAACAAAGAACACACAGCACATACATAAAAGAACACACAGCACACACAACACACATGACACAGCACACACGACACAGCACACACAACACAGAACACACAGCACATGCAACACATCACACACAACACACACAGTACACACAACACAACACATACAACACACAGCACACACAACACAACACATACAACACAACACATACAACACACAGCACACACAACACAACACATACAACACACACAACACTCAACTCACACTATACATAAGGCTGCGTTTTCCAAAAAAGTGAAGAGGGCAGTATGACTTTTTGGATATTTTTATTGACAGCAAAAGTGATGTGCGACACTTTTTATTTTTTTCCCACCAAAAACACCCACAAACAACAGGGCACACATTGAACTCCGCTCTTCAATACAATGTCAGTCGTCAAACATGGAGGACACAGTCTGCTTCATATCACACGGGAAATTTAAATCATCTTTTTTATATTGACAATAAAAATGTCTGACATGCAGGATTTAAAGTGACATGCTGAGTAAAATTTCCCCAAAGCCTAATACACAGTGACTGGTTCTATCTTGGGGGAATTGATTGATTCAATTGCCCATGCTTTTAACAGTATTCCAGTTATATCACAGTGTTAGGTTAATGTAGGAGGAAAGACCGAAGTGATGCAGGTCTTAAATGTTTACAACTTTGGTGAAACACACGAGCCTGGTACTGTCTGGACAAACCAAGAAACATAATTTGGGTAGAACCGGGATTTGAACCCACAATCATAGATTCCTGGCATGGTCAAGGGACACAACTCTGCACAGAAAAATGAGGCACCTTAGACAACTGGGCCACCTGTGCCCCCTAATACATAGAGAAATTGTGACAGTTTATGAAAGTATTCTTGTCAGAACAAACAGCAAGGTGAAGCCAATAAGTGAAGTGAATAAGATTTAATTCAAAGTTATGTTTTTAACCAAATCTGAAACAATTTCGGTTTGCAACAGATAAAAGACTCCTGTAAGTGTTCAAATGGTTTAATTTGCCATACTGACTTCAGAAAATGCGTGATTTCATAAAAAACATGAACATGCCAAAATGTCAATTTACAAATCAATAGCGTGTGTGTCACCTCTGGTTGTGATGCAAGCAACACATCTTCGTCTCATGGAATGGTCTAGGCGTTGCACAAAGCCCTGTGGGATATCTGTCCATATCTGCTGGAGCATGTTTGGAAGTTCCTGGAGTGTCTGTGGAACACGTGGTTGACGTCGAAGGCGCCGATCCATCTCATCCCACATGTGCTGGATTGGTGAGAGATCAGGGGAGCGAGCCGGCCAGGGGATGACATTCACATTGTTTTGTTGAAGAGAATCCTGAACAAGTCGAGCAATTTGAGGTCGGGCGTTGTCATGATAAAAGGTAATACCTGGGCCATGACAACGCAAAAACGGTAGAACAACAAGGCCGATGATCTCGTCGCGGTAGCGCTGTCCATTGAGATTTCCCTCTACACTATCAAACGGGTCCTCTGTCTTGCTGTTATCCCACCCCATACCATCACGCTGCCGCCGCCAAACCGATCTTCTTCCATGACACAATGATTGACGTAACATTCACCTTGACATCCCTGCACATCTACGGCAACGACGTACAGTTTGTGAAGATATTCGTCGAAGGCCGGGGATGCTTCTTGCAGTCACTGTTGCTGGCTGGAATCAATTTCGTAGGTGTGTTGTTCGAATCCAGTTGTCTTGTCGATAATTGGTTACGCGTGGCCTGCCACTCTGACTGCATTCGTCTGTTGCCAACGTTGCCATAAACACCAAATGGTGTTTCTGTGGATGTTAAATTGTCTTGCAACATCACATTGACTCGATCCTGCTTCAAGCATACCAATGGCTTGCAGATGCTCAATTTCGGACAGGCGTGGCATTTCGTAATGTTGAATAATTGCGTAATTTTGTTGTTTTTCAGAGTGGTTGTTGTCAGCACGATGCTAAACAATACATAAGGAAAACCGTTAAAGCACATGTTTTTATACCCATTCTTGGGTAGTGAAATGCATGGGGCTTGCATAAAAGTCAACTTTTGCATGGAATGCAAGCTTTTCTGTAGCAGTTGCGTTTTTGTGACTTGATTCCATACATGTACTACAATATTGTAAACCAAACTTTACTTTTTTGAAAAATACACTAAAATATTGGTGTCACAGGAACTTTTGTTGATGAGTATAATTTACAGACAAATCTAGGGGCCAGTCTAAAAGTATATAAGTGACAATTTGTTTTCCCAGAAATTTGATTCTGAGAAGGAATCAGTAAAGTCAAATGTTGGTAAATCTGATCTCGCAACTTCGCTACCTTATTTGTTACGGATAATAACTATTTTATATAGTTGTATTGATATACAGAAACAGGAGAACTTTTTAGAGGTGTGCATAAAAAATCACCATTAAGATTTCAGTAGTCAGTCAGTCAGACATTTTAGAATCTTTAGCCTGATTGGAATTTTTCTAGCAACAGCCCTGGTGGCCAGGCAGCAATTTCACACACTGACTTTGTTGTCATCGTCTAGCCTCTAGGACTTGTGTTTTCCTTAAAATAGGTCTGCATGACCCTAGTAATGATAGAAGACATGAAGTAATTAGTTTACAAAATGCCAGTTGGTTACAGCTTCTCAGTTTAGACATTTCTGGCTTGTGTCGTGATGACTACCAGTTCATTTAATGTCTCGGTATCTTTGATGAGACCCTCATGTCTTACGTAATAAGTGAGAAATGCTTCAGTCAGCAGTATATCAGCTGCATCGTGGCGCCTTGTAAATAATGGTGCCAAGTCCAGGCAAACCAGAGTCTGAAAATGTGAAAAATGAACCCCTTGCTATCTGGGCATGATGAAATAGAATAAGCCAATCACACATCCTGGATGCTGAATCTAATTCTGTCATCTCTCACAATGAGTGAGTGAGTGAGTTGTGTTTGATCAAATGACCGATTGAGTGAGTGAGTGTCCTTTGAGTGAGTGAGTGTGCGTGTGTGTATATGAGCGAATGACCCATGAGTGAATTTTTTGAGTGAGTGACCAAGTGAGTGAGCGAGGGACCAAGTGAGTGAGTGAGTGAGTGAGTGACCAAGAGACCAAATGATTGAGTGACCTGTGAGTGACCAAGTGAGTGAGTGAGTGAGTGACCAAGTAAGTGAATGAGTGACCAAGTGAGTGAGTAAGTGAACAAGTGGGTGAGTGAGTGACCAAGTGAGTGAGTTAGTGACCAAGTAAGTGAGTGAGTGAGTGACGAAGTTAATGAGTGAGTGACCAAGTGAGTGAGTGACCAAGTGAGTGAGTGACCAAGTGAGTGAGTGACCAAGTGAGTGAGTGAGTGACCAAGTGAGTGAGTGAGTGAGTGACCAAGTAAGTGCATGAGTGACCATGTGACTGCTTGTGTGACCATGTGAGTGAGTGACCAAGTGAGTGAGTGAGTGAGTGAGTGAGTGACCAAGTGAGTGAGTGACCTAGTGAGATATTTATGATGCGGGAACACACAAGAATAATAATCTCTTAATCATATAACACAATCAATATTTAAGATGTATTTTTGCTTTTTGAAGTAACCATGAATACAGTGTTGACCATACAGTTTATCATATGCTGACAAACGATTTGTAGCCTTGCTCCAAGGCTGTAGTGAATGGTGAATCCTTTGGTGTATAGTAATTCTATCCTTATGATTGGCAAGTCTAGATAAGTGGACAGTAAGGACGCCAGTCTCTTATAGGGACATCTTGTTCTTATTATTAATATAATCAAGAAATTATGATTTAAGCTAATAATCATTGCCTAAGGGACTTGTGCAAGTCTAAATGAATTGCAACCATGTTGATCTTGATAAACACCCATTGGGAAATTCATCTCTAAACTTACTGAGAAGATTAGTCATTAGTTTATAGAGCAAGCAGACATTACATTGATTAATGGATCTTGAAAGTAGTACCTGCTAAGTGTCTCCATTTGCAAATTTATCTGACCATGATATGAAGTATGTTGAAACAGTTTATCACATCGATAACGCTATCCATTATATGAAGAATGTTATTATGGTGTTAGTGTTGTCAGTAACGATGCTGTCACATAGGGTGTATATATGTCGTGCGTAATTTAAGAACTGCTCGATCCACAGATTTTGCAATTCCCAGGAACTGTAATCCTGCTTGCGTAATCCGCTAATTGGGCAGGCTTTTTAGCGTAATCCCCATAGACTGAGCAACGACTTCCATTAATGAAAAAAAATAGTTTATTGTATAAGTACAGGGCTAATGTAGTACCTGTCTAACTTCAAAAATACCATACCTTTATAAAGTACTGTCGGAAATGTTAGAAGAATGCTTTTCGTCTGTTAAAAAAGATAGAATTTTATACAGACTGTTTTATTCAATTATCGAGTAACAAACGATTTATCTTCCTTTGGTTTGAAGTATTTCAGTCACAAGGAGTCCTATCAACGACTTCACAGTAAAAAAAATCGAACAGCAAGTTCAGATTTATTCAAAGTCTAGTGAGAGAAGTCTGAAACGGACTATAGAAATATGCACATGTGACTCCGTTATAATAATGTAGTCTCCATAAAACATCAAATCCACCCCAAAAATCATTTGGATAAAATTCTAGGTGTGCATCTTATAAAATAAAAAAATGCTGCTGCAATTGTTTTGTGAACACTGCTCCCATGATGCATGTTACATTACACTTGCACAGCCATGGAACACGACATCGAGTCTGTGCTGGGAAATATGTACAAGTTCTTTACACTTGACAGAGACAGGGAAACCATTTATTAGTTTACATAGGGCGTATAACCAAACTGCCCAAGCTCTGGGTCTTCCATACCAATAGGTCTACAGTATGATAAGGAAAACAAAGATAGTAGGTGTTGTCTCAAAAATAAAACCGGGACGTAAAAGATTAAAGAAAATTAAAGACGCAATGAATGTTTCCGGACTACATTAATTATTGCTCACCACAAGGTTGGATTTTGATACACAGCATGTAGCAAAGACCAAGAAGTTTTCATGGAAAAGTATTCCATCCTGTCTATGAGGTCACAATATCTCCGCACCATTCATAACTATGGCAGTCATGGCTTCCAGGTCATTTACCTTGATGAAACCTGGGTGTATAAGAATCGTTCCACTGACTACATGTGGCTACCGTCAGATGGACAAAATGCACCTATGGCACCATCAGGTAAAGGGAATCATGTCATTGTTTTGCATACGGGAACCCGTCTTCTTGGGCTTATTCATGGATTGAGCTACATTTTGATGCAAAAAAGAATAATGGTGATTATCATAAGGAAATGTTTTTTTGTTTTGTTTGTTTGTTGTTTAACGCCACACTCAGCAATATTCCAGCTATTTGCAGGCGGTCTGTAAAATAATCGAGTCTGGACCAGACAATCCAGTGATTGACATCATGAGCATCGATCCACGCAATTGGGATCGATGACATGTATCAACCAAGTCAGCGAGCCTGACCACCCGATCCCGTTAGTCGCCTTTTACGACAAGCATAGTCGCCTTTTACGACAAGCATAGTCCCCTTTTATGGCAAGTATGGGTTGCTGTAGACCTATTCTACCCCGGAAACCTATGACTGTGGGTTCGAATCCCGGTTCGCCCCGATTATGTTTCTAGGTTTGTCAGCACCATACCCGTGCTCGTGGGTTTCACCGAAGTGTTAAACGTCTGAGACCTGCATCACTTCGGGCTTTCCTCCCACATTAAGCTGACACGCGGTGATATGACTGGACTACTGTTAAAAGCGGCTTTAAACCCAAATCACTCACTCACTCACTTTAACAATTACCAGTCCCCCATAATTTTTGTCAGTCCCAACTTTCAACAACAACAAAAAATGTATGAAAATTACCTGGTTTTAATTCCTTCAACTTCATGTTCAATTCATCTCTGAAGTAACCTAGTTACATCTACACGTCATTCACACAAGGTTCAGTCACAATTTTCTCCTTTTTGTTTTATTATTTCAAACTAAGTTGCTACAAATATATTTTTAGCCTTGAAGCAAAGTGAAAGGCTATTTCCTTGCACTAAAAATAGACAAGGGGAACCCCTGATGGTAACAGACAAGCTGACTTTATTTAACAAAAATGTATAAGGTACTTTATTTGCCAGTCTACAGGGACTGGGTCTACCAAAAGACATTAAAAGATGGTACTTGTTATTACCATGCCTGGCAGTTGGGATTAAGGGGATAAAACAAGGACTGGTCAGCTTGGAGTCAATATAAACTGTCCACATGAGGTATTCATGTTAAACTGCGACATGGTATCTATGTGGACTAGCACTATAAAACCATCATAATTTCAGACTAAAGCAAGCAGCCACACATAAGTGCAATAATCTTAAACGAACGTTTCACCTCACCCCACCTCAAGATGTCTAAATTTTCATCTTATTGATATCTTGGATTCCTAATGAGGCTAATATTTTGTTGGGCTCCTGTCCCGTTCCGCAGCTACAAGTGGCATTTGGATCCTTCAGACACAGAGAAGGACAAGCACAAATATCCTTGTCAATTTAACATGACAGTTCAATTTTGACAAATGAAATCCCTGCCAATATTGAGAGCTTCAGTAGAGACGCCATCGAAGCAGAAAGCTTGAATGATGACATTGTCAGTGTATAGAGCTTTGGTAACAATGTCGTCAATGAAGGAAGATGCACAAATGTCAGAGGCATTGTTACGAGCTTCGCCTCTGATTTGCACATGTCACACAGATAAAGACTATCCTGGATGATTTGATTATTATGGCTGACAAGATTCATGCTTTTACCCCAAAAATGCAATTACGATGACTTGAGAAATGACATTTCGTCACCATGGTGAGAATGTTTAATTTGACTTTGTCGTGAAAATGTCCAGTTTGTCTGATTAGTGAAATCATGAATGGCAGGTTGTCAAGGAAAAAATATGTATAGCCTGGTTTTGAGATCAGCATTACTTGTCTTTTTTTCCAGTGCACAACAGGAGGTATCTCAGGACTAAGACATGAGACCCAACCCAATATTTTGCAACAACTGTTGTCCAATATCATATATACTACTCAAAAGAAGTTAAAAGAGAGCTGATTCCTTTCATTTTACTTGGGTTAATCTGTCATGGATATATACTACTTAAAAGAAGTTAAAGGACATCTGATTCTTTCATATTTCTGTAATTTATCTGTAATGTTATGACAGATTAACAAAAGTAATATGAAAGTGCTATAGCTGATCTGTCATCCCATGACAGATTAAGTATAGTAATATAAAACTATCAGGTGTTATTTAACTTCTTTTGAGTAGTATATATAAGCTTTGGGGAGATCTGAGCCCTGACATGCTGTCACTCTGTCTGAATTCCATTTGAAATATAAACTTTGTTAAAAAGCACCAAATTTTGTTAGAGTGAATTGATCAGTGTAATGCATGATGGGTTTGAGGTATGCAGTAGTGTGTCCAATACACATTCAAGTTGAGAATGGAGTCAATGCGATTCCTTGGGGATGCAATAAAGAAAGGCTGCTTGAATCATTAAAACTTGTTCGATTGTAGTGTGAATGTTACATATGCCTGACATTTCTGGTGACAAACACACTCAACGTGTCGAGTCAGTGGTTGATTTTCTTCAATCCATCATTGAAACCCCAATCTTTAATAGACTAAAGGCTTCTGAGATTGTGCAATGGTATGGCTTGAGTAATCTTTTTAGAGACCCGTGATGAACCAGGTTAGAATGGATCTTCAGCAACCAATGCTTGTCACAACAGGAACCTGATGGTCTTACTTCTGGCAACAGGAACCTAATGGTTTTACAGCAACTAACAAAAGCTAACATAACAGTCTTACTTCTGGCCACAGGAACCTGATGGTCTTACTTCTGGCAACAGGAACCTGATGGTCTTACTTCTTGCAACAGGAACCTGATGGTCTTACTTCTGGCCACAGGAACCTGATGGTCTTACTTCTGGCAACATGAACCTGATGGTCTTACTTCTGGCCACAGGAACCTGATGGTCTTACTTCTGGCCACAGGAACCTGATGGTCTTACTTCTTGCAACAGGAACCTGATGGTCTTACCTCTGGCAACAGGAACCTAATGGTCTTACTTCCAGCAACTAACAAAAGCTAACATAACTGTCTTACTTCTGGAAACAGGAACCTGATGGTCTTACTTCTGGCAACAGGAACCTGATGGTCTTACTTCTGGCAACAGGAACCTGATGGTCTTACTTCCAGCAACTAACAAAAGCTAACATAACAGTCTTACTTCTGGCAACAGAAAGCTTACTCAGTCTTGTACTTCAGTTAAAATGGAAAAAATATCCCAATCGTTAAAATGGAAAAACTATCCCAATCATGTTTTACTGAAACAATATAACTTGGAAGTAAATACTTTGACTGTGCCAGCCCCCATCAGAAGAAACATCGGTCCAACTGCCTCTGGAGGACACACATCTGACACAAACATAGCTCATTCCTGCAGTGAATCTTTTGAGGTCATTCCTTCTTTGTGATTTATGTACTGTTAAAGAGTCTTTTAAAGAAAAAAGATCTTCACTTTGGTGACAAGTGTTTGTTCAGATTAATGATGGGACTGGTGACTCAGGTCAGGTGGGTCTTGAGTAGGACCCGTGGTTAGTCACATGATAATTGTTTATGACAATAACAATACACCACAAGACTTTAATGTTTGCATTTCTTTCTGACATTTACATGTTTGAGAAAAAATTCAACTTCCGTCAACTTCAGTGTATACATGATCAGATTGTTTTATGCTTGTATCTAAATAGTTTGTGCAAGGTCTCCGGTAAAACAGTTCCAAATTGGACATTTTGCACCCAACTCTTGAGACCTACAGCAGGTGCCCGGGTAGGATCATGTAATAGGGGGTCGGGTACCAGGGTAGTAAATTTGGACTTGTCCCAGCCCTAGTCCAGGTAACATATGACCTGATTACTGTGAAAGTGAATTGTGGTCAGTCAGGTTAACAATGAGACTCACTACTGGTGGCAATAAGAGTTTGAGTCTCTCTCTATCTGTGCAGATATGTGGGAAGGTCACAAGTCACTGATCAAGGCAAAAATGCATTTTGTCCAGATGCCTTTCATTATTTTGGTAATGGATGTTCTTGCTAACAAATTTGCAACTGCCAATTCGAGACAAGTTGCTCAACTTGATGTTTTCTTTTGTTTTGCAGATATTTCACCCCCTCCGCAACCTCTTCATCCCAGTGTTCCTCAACTGCTGGCTGGCCAAACAATCCATGCAGAACATGTTTGTAAGTATAGACTTATGCAGAACATGTTTGTAAGTATAGACTTATGCAGAACATGTTTGTAAGTATAGACTTATGCAGAACATGTTTGTAAGTATAGACTTATGCAAAACATGTTTGTAAGTATAGACTTATGCAGAACATGTTTGTAAGTATAGAGTTCTGCAGAAGGTGTTTGTAAGTATAGACTTTTGCAGAACTCTATACCTACAAACATGTTCTTCAGAGCTCTATACTTGTTTATACATGTTTGTAGGTATAGAGTTCTGCAGAAAATGTTTGTAGGTATAGAGTTAAGCACAAAATGTTTGTAAGTATAAAGTAAAGCAGAACATGTTTGTATGTGTCCGAGTTATTCAGGAAGTGCCATTACATCAGGAATAAAAAAAAGTAGTATCCTCACCACAAGACTCACATAATACAATTGTAGTTCCTGATATATGATTTTTATAATAGATGCTCAGTCAATAATAGCTACATAGGTTCGGTGATCACAGCTAATGAGGTTTCACCATGTATTTTCTGTTTATGTTGCAGTCTGCATTGTACAGAAATTCTGCACTACTTCTGAACGACTGGTTTCTGATTCTTGTCATGCAATTTAAGTTAAATTATCACAGTAACGAGGATGGATGAACTTTAACTGCATTCATAGTTTTTGCATCCTTGCCAATTGAGAGAACTGCGGAATGTTAGTTTTTTTGTCCTAATTGGCACTTATTGCTACTTTCCCCCAGAATGACCTCCATCGAGTGATGCAGAAGTCGCAGTCTGCCCTGGGGCAGCAGCTGATGGTCCTCTGTGCTACATTGCTCTGCCTTGTTTTCATAAGGTGAGTAGAGTAGAGGCAAGCATCTCTCAGGGGCTCACTATACTGGAAAGACAGCCTCCGTGGTCTAGTGGTAGAGCGTCCGCGCCGAGAGCGGAAGGTCCGGGGTTCGATCCCCGGCCGCATCATACCAAAAGACATTAAAAGATGGTACTTGTTGTTACCCTGTCTGGCGCTCGGCATTAAGGGGCTAAAACAAGGACTGGTCGGCTCGGAGTCAGTATACTGTGTCTGAGTGGGGCATTCATGTTAAACTGCGGCATGGTATCTCAGTGAGCTAGCACTATTAATCGGCATCAGTTCAGACTAGTACAAGCAGCCACACAAACACACACACGTACATGCACGTCTCTAAATAAGCACAATAATCTTGGACGCAACGTTAAACCCCATTTCACCTCCACATCACCACTATACTGGAAGGGCTGGGATTCACGAGCTGTCCCTTTTTTTAAACACCTGGTGTCATCACTGATTTTCAGTGATTCATCCAGAAATGTTTTAGGGCAATTTGCCATTTATGCCCAGCGGATAATCAAGACTGGTTATTCTCTGGCATTGACATTTTATTAAGGAAAAAGAATCTGATCCTGATAATGCTGAAAAAATGGTTTGTAAAAAAATTTGGAATCATTCTCTAGAGATACATGTGTGTGTCCCAAAAATTATCTAGCTTCTATTTTTAGTGAAAACAGTTGTGCCTCATGATGAAGTGCGGAATGTAGAAATTTCTGTTCGAGACTTTTGATGCCCCTGTATTAAATGGTGTTACTTTTTCTTTAGATTGGTAAGATCAACCTGAAAAGCACTTTTTTTATTCTGCTGATTGCAATCTTACATAACACAAAAACATTTTGCCTACATAGCGATAAACTGCAAGAATGATCAGACCTAAACACACCACATGGCAACATATTGACAACTTTTTGATGATAATCAATCCAAAACTGTTTAACTCTTTAACATGTTCCTTCCCAACCTCAGCAGGTGAACTTCAGAACCTCAGAACTCTATATCATGTTCCCCACCAACCTCAGCAGGTGAACTTCAGAACGTCAGAAATCTATATCATCTTCCTCGCCAACCTCAGTGCATGAACTTCAGAACCTCAGAACTCTATATCATGTTCCTAGCTAACCACAGCAGGTGAACTTCAGAACCTCATAACTCTATCATCTTCCTTGCCAACCTCAGTGCATGAACTTCAGAACCTCAGAACTCTATATCATGTTCCTCGCCAACTCAGCAGGTGAACTTCAGAACGTCAGAAATCTATATCATCTTCCTCGCCAACCTCAGTGCATGAACTTCAGAACCTCAGAACTCTATATCATGTTCCTAGCTAACCACAGCAGGTGGACTTCAGAACCTCATAACTCTATCATCTTCCTCGCCAACCTCAGTGCATGAACTTCAGAACCTCAGAACTCTATATCATGTTCCTAGCTAACCACAGCAGGTGAACTTCAGAACCTCATAACTCTATCATCTTCCTTGCCAACCTCAGTGCATGAACTTCAGAACCTCAGAACTCTATCATGTTCCTAGCTAACCTCAGTGCATGAACTTCAAAACCTCAAAACTCTATATCATGTTCCTCGCCAACTCAGCAGGTGAACTTCAGAACGAATCTCATAATTGGTAGTCTTTTTTTGCATTTACAGTTTAGCTCGTGATTAAATCTGTGTTGGTAAGAACACCGTAGATCAAGGACATGGAACCTCAAATCAATAAGTTAATTCTGAAAAAGCAATGACTGTAATGATGAAGTCAAACCCAATTAACCTGATTGAACTGCAGGAGTAGGTTGTTAAAGATACGCTGTATTTTGAAAAGGTATTAAAGTCACAGTAAGATTGTGAAAGTAGGTTGTTGGTTAAACTGAGATGAAGACACTATGCATCTAAATATCAGGGAAAACATCCTTGTAATCAAGAGAAGTAGTTTTGCCCAAGAACTGATAAAAGTTTTCCAACATCAATTCATCAGATCAGTGCTGATTGGCTCACCATCGGTCTTGTAGCCATGAATCTTTGAAGCTGTGATAAATCTTTTTCCTTGATTGGCACCAACTTCATTTGATAATCACTTGGGAATTCGATGCATACTTAAACCGAAATAAGAGACATATTTACATTAGTCCTCTGTGATTGGTGTGCAGTTCATTTGATTGGATGATGGGTATGGAGACAAACTGCGTATCCAATATGGCATGCTTTTTTACAGAAAATTGTCAATTCCTGATCAATTTCTGTAGACACATATGATGAGCATAGGTTACATGGGACCATGTCTGCACTGGAATCCCCACAGGGCAAAAACCTTATGAAATGATTAGAGACTTTGTACCCTGCTGTCTTTACTTACAGTTCACGTTTACTTGGTTCTATGTACTTAAATCAGATAATTTACTTTGATATGTAATGACCTCTCTACATGAAGCTAATGCTGAAGACCCAGTTTCAATTCTCCACATGGGTACGATGTGTGAAGACCATGACCTACATAGTTTACACATTAATAGTGGCAGTCGGGTAGCCTCGTGGCTAAAGCGGTCGCTCGTTATGCAAAAAAAACAACGTGTTCGATTTGCAGCATGGGTACAATGTGTGAAATCCATGACCTACATGGCCTTAGTTTACACATTAACAGCGGCAGTCGGGTAGCCTAGTGGCTAAAGCGGTCGCTCGTTACGCTAGAAACCCGGGTTCGATTCGCGGCATGGGTACAATGTGTGAAGTCCATGTCCTACATAGTTTACACATTAATAGTGGCAGTCAGGTAGCCTCGTGGCTAAAGCATTCGCTCGTTACGCTAACAACCCGGGTTCGATTCGCGGCATGGGTACAATGTGTGAAGACCATGACCTACATAGTTTACACATTAATAGTGGCAGTCGGGTAGCCTCGTGGCTAAAGCATTCGCTCGTTACGCTAACAACCCGGGTTCGATTCGCGGCATGGGTACAATGTGTGAAGTCCATGTCCTACATAGTTTACACATTAATAGTGGCAGTCGGGTAGCCTCGTGGCTAAAGCATTCGCTCGTTACGCTAACAACCCGGGTTCGATTCGCGGCATGGGTACAATGTGTGAAGACCATGACCTACATAGTTTACACATTAATAGTGGCAGTCGGGTAGCCTCGTGGCTAAAGCGGTCGCTCGTTATGCAAAAAAAAAAACGTGTTCGATTTGCAGCATGGGTACAATGTGTGAAATCCATGACCTACATGGCCTTAGTTTACACATTAACAGCGGCAGTCGGGTAGCCTAGTGGCTAAAGCGGTCGCTCGTTACGCTAGAAACCCGGGTTCGATTCGCGGCATGGGTACAATGTGTGAAGTCCATGTCCTACATAGTTTACACATTAATAGTGGCAGTCAGGTAGCCTCGTGGCTAAAGCATTCGCTCGTTACGCTAACAACCCGGGTTCGATTCGCGGCATGGGTACAATGTGTGAAGCCCATGTTTGGTTTTCCCCTCTGTGATATTGCTGGAATATTGCTACATACTCAAACACATGTAGATCCAAGGGCACCCATATACTACTCAAAAGAGGTTAACGAAGACCCTTCATATCACTCAAGTAGTTACTCTGCTGCAGACTAAAATTGTATAAACTGAGGTGCAAAAGAAACTATACCTCAGTTGGTTTTATTCTGTTTCATTTTCAGTTGAAAGTATCTTCGGTTAGTGGTATTGTATCCAAAACATGAACTGTGTTGACACTCAGTCAGCACTCAAAGAATACTTCTACATCGTTTTATTTCATAAAATATATATCTGATTTAAAACTTTTAAAATGAACGAAAAACCAAACTTTTGAACTATACGCACCTGCTAATGGGTATCTCATTTGAAGGTCAATCAATTTTCTTGTTTCGGCACTACTGCTAAACAAAGGTCTGAAGACATCCCATTACGAGTCACGCCAGAACGACTTTTCATCCAATTAATGAGAGTGTCCCTCACCAGATAGGAAAAGCATAGTCTGGAAAGGAAGTCATGAGTTTGAAATTAGTGGCATAATGATCGAGAGAGCTGTTTTTTTATTGGTAAATGTCAACCTCTTGTTTGTCATTTCATTGGTCGGTCAAATTTGTGAAAGTTCATTCTGACATGACATGTGTTGAGATGTCCTAAGATCTTTGTGTAGCATTAACAAGCACTAAGATCTGATTTTAATAAAGTTGAGTGGATAGAGGGCCTACACAGAGAGTGGCCTCATCGTACCAAAAGACTTTAAAAGATGGGACTTGTTGTTACCCTGCCTGGTGCCTGGCATTTACAGGATAAAACAAACAATGACTGTTCCCTGTCTCCTGATAATAGAGTAGGTGGGCTTGTGTTGCAAAGTTGAACAATGTCACAGCTTTTGTACTGTTGTCCACAGGTTTTCTTATGTTCTTGAGCCGCCTCCGTGGTCTAGTGGTAGAGCGTCCGCCCGGAGAGCGGAAGGTCCGGGGTTCGATCCCCGGCCGCGTCATACCAAAAGACGTTATAAGATGGTACTTGTTGTTACCCTGTCTGGCGTTCGACCTAAGGGGCTAAAACAAGGACTGGTCGGCTCGGAGTCAGTATACTGTGTCTGAGTGGGGTATTCATGTTAAACTGCGGCATGGTATCTCAGTGAGCTAGCACTATAAATCGGCATCAGTCCGGACTAGTACAAGTAGCCACACACACACACACACACACGTGCATGCGCATCGCTATATAAGTGCAATAATCTTGGACGCGACGTTAAACCCAATTTCACCTCACCTCACATCTTATGTTCTTCATTAAATAAGCTGTCTGTGACGTTATTATGGTTTGCATATGTATTTATAACAATCGACATCAATATGTTTTTGCTTTTATTGAATTCTAAATGTAAAAACCTGTGTGCACACTTTCCATTAATCTACTACGCTGGTTTAGACAGTGTGTATTTTTTATGCCTACCCATCCAAAAACACAAAAATGAAATCAATTTTAAACAGACATGTGAATCCGTATC